CACAGAAACCTGCGTGCTGGGGCTGTGTTCATGGTAGAGAAACCTCCTCGGGACTGAGGTTTCTTTTCTTCTATTTCTCTGTTTCTTACCAACACCTGGACCAAGCCTGCCACACTTCTAGCAAGAAGGGGGAAAAATTTCCCATATAAGCTGCTGGGCTTGTTCATCCTGCAGCTCCACAGCGCCCTTTAGTTCCTGCAGCTGAGATTGCAACAGCTCCAGGACCCGGCCTGGCAGAAAAGACAAGCCGAGGAAACACTGGGGGAGTTCTGCCTGGTCCCAGAGGAGTTTGCATCTGCATTAGCCAGAGAAACTCCTGATGTTCAAAAATGCACCGGCCACAACGGCACCCCAGCCAGGGGAAGGACTGATGGACGAAGGTGAACGATTTCCTGCCCACGGGACACCAGCTCTCCCTTCCAGCTGCTCTCTGCCCCTCGGCTTGCTCAGAGCAATGCTCGGGACAGACCACTGCTTTTCTGTAGCGCTAGTCTCACGTAACAGAGCCCAACATCAGATACTATTGCAGAGCCGGGGAAAGCCGCTGCTGGGGCAAAGAGAATGGTAATGAAAGCTCAAGCCTGTGGCAACAGCAGTGAAGGAAATGTTCAGGCACACACCTACAAGAAAAACCCAATGCACAGCTCAAAAGAATGACTTTAATATGGTTTTCTGTCTGCCTGCAACACAAAGCACTAGGTGGCTGCCTCTGTCCCCGTTTAATTCTCACGTACAGAGTCAGTTCCTTTGTTTTAAAGCACAGCTCATGGAGACTCGTCCTTTGGTGCCCCCGCCTTTCCTTGCTCATAGACTTGACAACAGCATCTTGTCTTCTTGCCTCCCACTTCTATCTCAGGCAGCTGTAATGATGACCAGCTTAGTTCGGTCTTCTAGGGGGGACTTACTGATCTGAGCATCCCTCCAACTCCTGCCACATTTCATTCCTTCTTCTCCCTACAAAATCTCAGCAGAAAAAGCTTGATTCATTTTCTCTGCACTTGTTGGCAAATATCAAACCCTCTGCTTCTTATCAGTATTATGATTTTTTTAAATTCACCCAGCTTAATCTAAATAAAAATGCTCACAAAGCAATTACTCCTCAGCAATCGGTACAAAGTAAAAAGCCACAATGTCCTGCAAAGGGAAGGGCCCTTCTCTTGGTTTTAGGAAGCCTACAGAGCAGTTAAATAATTCCTGTCTGTAATCACTAATAAACATGTACCATTCATCTGGGGAAATGGACGAACCCTTGCAGCAAAGCACGGATGGCAGATCCCCTCCCCGAGTCTTCCATGAGCACCAGCTCAGCTCCCCAGAGCACACACACCGGCTGCGGGGTTTACGTCTTTATTCTCTCACAGAGGAGCTGGTGGGGCTTATGCAAAGCAGGGAAGACAACAGCCCTCCTTTGAGAATTGTTTCTTACGCTTCAGGGCTTTGCTGGCTGATGAATTCCTGGAGCAGAGCTTGCACTTCTCCTCGCCCACTCATCTTGGTTGCCTTGCCCTGGAAGCGGCCTCGCTTCCCAGCTCCTTTGCCTCCCAGCAGCTCTGCCACCCTGCGGAAACGACAGCCCAGGCTGAGAGCCGCTGGCTCGCAGAGAAGAGGGGGGCCCGGCCGGACCTGCTGCAGAGAGCAAGGACTCGTGCCCTAACCACGCTGCTCTGCAACATGGGAATTCTTAATAAAGAAACCGTGGAAGATGTTACCTGGGACCTAAATTCTCAACTGCTTCAGCAGGTCCAGCTAGAAGAAAGAGTCCTGCTTCCTTCTCATCTCCCACCGTCAGGAACAGCAGGGTTTCCTGCGGACAGAGAGGGACCTTGCTCCAGAATAACCAGTGACCTCCTTGTCCAGGAAGGGGACAGAGGCACTGGCCACAGGACCCATCCAAGCACGCATACAATTCAGTGAGCTCGTGACTGTGGTACCAACAGGAGCCTGGCCCCGCCTGTGCCACAGCTTGAACGGAAACGCCGGCAGCATCAGGTCAGGCTGCATCAGCCACTCACCTCTGTCCCGATCTCGTTAGCGATGATATTCATAAATTCAGAATCACCCTCTTTCCTGTATGGATGGGTAAAAAAAACACTTCAGAAAGAAGCAAAAATCCCCTCGAAAGCCCAAAACATCAATTGGAAACCAAAGGCCCAATCAGGGTTTTGGCCTCTTGCTGTTAGGATGCAATTAGTTTTCTTCGTACATCCAAATCCTCATCCTCCATTCCTACAGACATATGAGGAATTCTATTCACCCTGTTTATATTCTTCCTTCAGAAGCAAGCCTGAATAGGTGTCAGAGAGATGCAGCTGCCACAAAACGTGTAAGATGCCATCTCACCCTCTTCCCTGAACTCCCCATACCTGTGTAACACCAACAGCCGGCTCTGAACAGGTTTGCTCTTGAAGTCACGGGCTATCAGAACAGCAATGTCCCTAAGCAGGTTCAAGTTATTCTGAAAGAAAAACAAATAAACTGTACTGCCAATGGAGAAGTGAACACAGAGCTGTGTTCCAGAGACAGGAGCAGTTTTCACAACAGCCACAAAAACTGATGTCTACAGTTCAGTTCCCAGGTATCACGACTAAAGCTCAGGTCTCCAGGAAGCAGCCACGACCTGCTTTCCTCAGACACCCTCATACCTTCTGCAGCAGTTTCACGGAACTCTGCAGCCTCTTCACAGCCTCTACGTGCTCACCTGGCCCATTCCTGAAAGAACAAGAGAATCTGGATGAAGGGCCATAAAGGATTTCTTAAAGGAGCCGAAGCAGGTAACATCACAAAAAGCACTGCGCAGATGTTCCCTGAGGCTTACGGAGTGTTTGTCAGAAGGAAGAGTAAAGAAAGGGTATTACTTCAGCAGCGAGGTCAGAGCCTTCTCCGTACTGTGACTTTGTTCGATTGACTTCAGCACTCTGTTTCCTGACAGGAAAACCAAGTCGGTTTTGTTCTTTTTCCCTTTTTCTGTGCCAAGGAGTTTAATAACCTTAAAAAGAAGATCACCCTGGTCAGAAAAGAACAGCACTCTGCTCTCACACAGCTGGTCAGCTCCTACTGGACTACACCTTGTTGTGAGTATTGGCCTCTGCCAGTGAAAATAAACTGACTAAAATCAGCCATAAGGTCAACATACATAAAAAAAAAGGGATGGTGTTACAGTGGAACTCATACAATTTGCCAGTCACGAGCTGCACTCTGCAGTGCCTCTGGATGCTGGGATACAGGCTCCAGCAAATGACTGAAAAGACAGAAACACTTAAAGGCAGCTCTGGAATTTTATCTCCACCTCCCTGCACAGAGGAGCTCTGCTCAGCTGCAGCTCCCACCTGCAAGTCACTCAGGTTGGAGACGTGGGTCCCGCAGCACATGTTGGAGTCGATCCCTTCGATGTCCACGACTCGCACTGGTCCCACGTGGTCATCAGGCAAACCACGGCTTCGCACCTGGCAAAAGGAGGATAACAGCAAGCAAGGTGACACCCGGGCTGCAGTTATTTTGGTCCCTCGGATATCACCAGCTCCCTCCCCACCACTCACCGTTTCAATTTCAGGGTCATCCGCAGCCAGTTCCCTCACCACCACGGGTACCCTCTCCCGGATTTTCTCGTTCACGCTCCTCTCCAGGGCCTCCACTTGCTCGGCCGTCACGGAGGGGGTGTCCAGCTCAATGACGCTTCGCTGACGGCCCAGCTCCCTGCACCGACGAAGAACATCTGCTGCTGCAGCTGAGAGCAGCTGGAAGGTGCCTCTGTGCAGCGCTGAGTGCCACCTGCTGCCAGGACCGTGGTGACTGGAACAAAACCTATTTCCCTCCTCTCCCTGCTATTTACAGAGCACCAGCCACTTGGAGGAGGAGACAGAGCAAACACTTTGCACCGCTTCTCTCCAGCTCAGTCACCTCTCCCAGGCCCCCTGAGCTTGAGCGGAATGTCCGAGGGCAAACTGCTTTTGATTTATCAATGTTGAGCACCTTGCGGCACAGAACAGTGGCACACGCCGAGCAAGGTGAGACCGGGGTCAAAAGGAGCCTTTTCCCTGCTCACCATGAAGTTGTCTTGAATCCAAACATCAGGTCTGCGAGGGCAGTGATGAGATGCTGTCCTGGAAGAGATGCGCAAGCAGCACCTTTGAGTGCCGCTGGATACAGGAAAGGGGCTTTCAGCCAGACGCTATTTTTTCTGCTGATGTTCCCCACGACATCCCCAAGTACCCTGGCATGCGCCCAGCACCCTGGGGCTCACGCGCCTGCTCCGGAGCAGACAGACAGACAGACAC